AATTATTAAAGAGTACTATTTACCCCATAGCTGGTTCAATTGCCACTTTATTCAACAAATCAATCCTCGTTGGCCAGTTCCAGTTCCCTAATAGACTGAAATTGGCAAAGGTACTACCTATTTTCAAGGGTGGTTATTGCAATCAATATGGCAACTACAGACCCATATCGATTCTATCAGTATTTTCAAAAATTTTTGAAAAACTAATGTTTGATAGAATGTGGTCTTACATATCTAAACACAGCATGATTAATGGAAATCAATTTGGCTTCATTCCCAAGTCATCAACTGAGAAGGCTATTGCTATGCTGTATGGGACTCTCATAAATAATTATGATTCAAGGAAGCTTAGCTTAGGCGTTTTTATAGATCTAAGCAAGGCATTCGATTTAATTGACCACAATATTTTATTGTATAAACTGTCTAAGTATGGTTTTCGAGGTATAGTACTGAGCTGGTTCAAGTCTTACCTAAACAATCGGTGTCAATATGTCTGTATTGAAGGTGTTGAATCTTTGCCCAAGGAAATAGTTTCTGGAGTTTCCCAGGGTTCAATCTTGAGGCCGTTTTTGTTTATTCTGTTTATAAATGATATTTTTTTTAATATCAAATGTGTGTACCACTATTTTATTTGCTGATGACACGACTATATTCTTGTCTGACGAAGACCCGATAAGACTATTTTCTGAAATGAATAACCAACTGGTTAAATTCTCCAACTGGTTCACTGGAAACAGGTTGGTTCTGAATTCAAAAAAATCCTGCTATTTAGTCTTTGGCCCTAAAATCAAAACGAACAATGATATCTTCTCTGGCCTAACCATTCACATAGGTGACTCAGTGATATCCAGAAACTCGTCAGCTAAATTTCTGGGAATTATTATCCAGTCTGACTTGAAATGGAATGAGCATATAAATTCGTTGGTAAGCAAATTATATAAAATTACTGGCATTATTTATAGATCACGCAATAAATTAGGTACTAAAATCATGTTAATGCTATATTACTCCCTAATCTATCCATATCTCCTATATGGAAATGTTTTTTGGGGAGCTTCTTATGATTATTTAATAAAATCATTGACAATAGTACAAAAAAGATACCTTAGGGTTTGTTTTTTTTTGAAACACCTTGATCATACACT